AACATTTATTATTATTATTATTATTATTATTATTATTATTATTATTATTATTATTAATAATAATAATAGTAATAATAATAATAATAATAATAATAATAATAAATAATTAAATAGGTAAATAAATAAATAAATAAATAAATAAATAAATAAATAAATAAATAAATAAATAAATACAAAAAAATGCTTGCTGGGATTTTTTGTAGCATAAAATTCTAAATTATCGGAATGGTATCTGATATTTTCTGAGGAGAGAATTGAGACATAAAGTTTTATAACAATATTATATATCCATTCAGCATTGCTTGATAAAAGAACTAGATGCTATCAGCTAAACTTTAAGCACAGCGGTAAAATCACACACTCCCATACAGAATGGCTGCAATTTTACTTTTGCATATCAACAATAAACCAAACAACAAATAAACCCTGTTGCCGTAATATTTGGCTCCACTGCTCTCTAACCCTAATTCACACGTATCTGTCACATGTAGGTCGACCTAATGAACAGCACAGTGGTGGACAGCACACTTCTTCCAGGAGCAGGCCGTCTTCCGGTCTACAGTTTGAATCCGAACACCTATCTGGACATGGCTGTGGACGAACTCGGCCTATGGGTCATACACGCTGACGCAGAGTACGCAGGAAACCTGGTCATCACCAAACTGGATAAAGGTTGAGAAGTTTCCAAACTTTTCCCATAGCAGACCACAACCAATTAACATATAATGGCATGTGTGCTTTTAAAAGCTCCTCTAAAGTTTTGGAGCCCTTCCAAAGCTTATGTACTGAACTTGGTATTGTATGAATTAATGTACAAAACAGATTTTTGGATTGACTTTTTATCGAATGCATCTGTTCATAAACGTGTTTGTTGTTGTAATCAGGATCTTTGGCAGTGGAATACACCTGGGATACACAGTGCCGAAGCCGGGACGCTGAAGGAGCCTTCCTGATCTGTGGCACCCTTTACGTGGTGTACAACACACGCTATGGCGGGCGCTCCACCGTTCAGTGTCTTTACGACATCCACGACACCATACACAGGTTAGTGGATGCACACAAAGACCGTGCGTGCATTAGCACATGTTGAAAAAAAAGCGAAACGGTTGTTTGATTAATTGAAAGCAATTTCTTTCTTAAGAAATGATTTTTGTCTTCTTCTCTGACAGCAACGAGAGTCCGGTGATGTTCTTCCCAAAGCGCTACACCAGCCACAGCAGCATCCACTATCACCCGGGAGAAAAGCAGCTGTACGCCTGGGACGACGGCTACCAGACAATATACACCGTGGACACACGCAGGAGTGACCATGTCATTCCAGAGTGATGCTAATATTCATACTCTCCATCCTGTATCCTGGGTCAAAGCCTTAATACCACTTAAACTTTAACCCTTAATGGAACAACAACATTGAGAAATATAAGATCACTTCTGTGACCCTTTGCCAGCAATTGATGATGCCTTTGTTATTGTGAATGATTATAAAAGGAAACATTATACTTGCATTTTGCAGGCATTGTAGTTTCTCTCAGCAAAATAAAGATCATTTAAGTTTTGTGCACCTTTAATGAATTTCATTTTTGGAGAAAACAAAACATCATGAAAGTTCAAACATTTGAACAGATTAACAGGTTTTACATATATCATTTCTTTGAGTTGTGGTTGTCCCTGAAAATGTGTTATCTAAGAAGAAGAAGGAAAAAGTCTCATTAATGATTAAACTAAAAGTAATGGCCCACTCATGTATGGCTTGTTGTCTTTTCCACTAGTCATATTACTTAGAAACATCTTAACTTTTCACATAACATAAATACGACATGCAAAAATGGCATTATGTATATATATATATATATATATATATATATGTGTTATGTTTGAAACTGATTACGACCAAAATTGTGTAAAGCAGCCTCACAATAAAATAAGCTCCTCCTCAACAATTTTTGAATAATGCTTTTACTTCGCTAGCGAATGCAGACTTTATTCATATCATACCTATGCATCTATAAAGTCATAGTGTTCATATCTTCATATGTATATTCTTATTTATGTTGTATGTTTTTCCGGACCTCTGCACAGGCTGGAATACTTCATTCATTGTTTAGGACTCAGCAACACGTTTTTACGTAATGACGTAATTCGCCTTTTTGTTAAAGTAAAAAAACAACTTTTTAAAAATGTTATTTAAGTATGTTATTGGCTATTGATATATAAGAAAAAAAACGTTATAGGAATAATTTTAACTCGTTTAATTTCGATCCCAAACCGTTTGATTTGACGATGACGTAGGAAAAGAGGGCGGTCCCAAAGTAACCGTTGAGGCTGACAGGCGCAAATATCGAACAATAGTTTTTTAAGCACATGGAGTATTCCACAGGCGAAGTGGTCTATTTTAAACCATGAGGAGGAGAAGCAGCAGTAACACCATCAGGAGAAGTTCAACAATTAGAAGGCGCAGCGAGAAAGTGGGTTTTGATGAATTCGGCTTTGCTCTGACTAAAAGAAAGGACCAAAAACTCCATCACCGATGTCACGATTACAGGTGCGCGGCAGGTTAATTAACGGTTTACGGCTAGCCGTCTACGGTAGCGTCTGTACAGAAACATAAAACTAAGGTAGCTTATATAAAGGCAAATGGTTCGAGTTTGCAAATCATATGCGTTAGTGTAGGGTAACTTTTGCCCTACACACATGATTCATAAATTAAGTTCAAGAGTTTGCATTGTTAAAGCAGCTAGCATCCAAACTTGTAAAGTTCTCCATATTTAGTTTGACGTCATATCGTTTATGTAGTTTAACTTGTTGATCTTAAATCCACAATTTAAACGAATAGGCTATAGCTTAATTTGGGTAATGATATAATATGCATGTGTACTGAAAAACAAAACAAACCCTTTTATTTGGAACATGTAAAGGAGAATAATAATAAAATAAAATAGCTGGATCTGTTGAACTTTGACCTTAAGCAGAGCTTTAAACAGTCACTAAAAAGTGTCTCTGTATACCTCCTCCAAAGTAGATAAAATGACATCAGCATATTAAAGCTCTTAGGTCAGACTATGTGAGATCATTGGTAAACACTCTGCACTTAAACTCTGTAGGCTTTTACAGAAAATGACCTAATGTCTAAAGCCGATAAGTCCAAGCTAACTATGATGTGTTCTCTCCGTCAGTTACCCCCATCTGAGCTCGGTGAGGGTGAAGGAGCTGTGTGAGCTGCTCAGCTACTGGAATGGAGCCAGCTTTATCTGCAAAAGTCAGGTGAGACTTCTTTAATCTGTTGAAAATGCAAAAAAAAAGTCATTTTTCTAAATGTGCATTAATCATTTAAACAGATTAATCCACATCGTGCTTTTCAGATTGAGCGATTTATCAGGATGGGTATTCCTCCAAGCCTGCGAGGTCGAGTGTGGAAGTGTCTCCTCAACATTGACAGCCTGAAAGAAACCAGTGATTTCAATTACCAGGTGAGACATGATTAGGATCACAAAAAAAATAAGTTATCCTCACTTGTCATTTTATCATTAGTCCAGTGGTGGAAATGTTGATCAATGTATTGGACTTATTATTCTCTAATTAGAAAGCATTATACAATGTTGATCAATATTCTGACTTGGACATCTGACTTTTAATAGGTATTTATTTTTCATATTTCAAATTGAGAATTCAGATGACCTATTTGCATATGAATGCACCATCATTGGCTCGACGAGCTGGAGCAAAGTACACATGAACATCCGTGTTTTTTCAGAACGGGTGTTCTCCCTCTCTGTTTGCAGAAAAGATTACGTTCCTACAGCACAGATGGCAAAAAGCCTTCAGTTGAAGCCAAGTGGTACAGTGTGGAAACAGGACTAACTGGTTATCTCATTACAGCTGTCTGCCTTATGTGAGCTCAGTTAAATGCATCAACGAGGTGCTACAAGTATTCACCCACACACGGATCCTCCCTTTTGATTGTCAGTTGCAATACAGATCCAAGGACAAAGGAATTTTTTTTTATGAGGCAGAATTACTGGTACATGAGGAAAAATATAGATAAAAAATACACAGAGGAAGAAGAAAGAAATAGTACAATAAGAAATAAAAAGGCTTTTGTAATAAGGAAATTCAAGGGTGTAATAGACATAATAGCATCTATAAGTAAAAGAAAAATGTAGGCCAAGAACTCTCGTCAGAGTATGTCTGACATATCATTACAAACTCAATAAAATGGAGATGAATTCAGTTTTTCAATTTATTAGCTGGGAAACGGTGAAGAGAAGCTGTAATTCTGACTGTCCCGCAGATGTCGGAGATTAAAATGTATTTGAGTGTTTTAAGTAATGATTGATTTGACCCACAGCTGCTCCACAGAGCGTCTGTGTGTAGGAGTGTTTTTGTCCTCAGGCTGCGTAACCGTGTCTTCATCGTAAATCAACGAGCCCTGTGACGGTGTTCAGCTTCCAGCTGTCTGTCGCTCCTGTCCTCAGATTTTAAGGTCATAGTCTCTTTGTTTTTGTTTTTTTCCTCCTAAAGATGTGCTTGTCTGAAGTCCGGGGACCCCTTGTGGACTTGGGTGTGAGTGAATACGGCATTTTGTCGGCCATTGCCACGCTGAGTGAAACCCAGAACGACCTGGGGTTAAATCCCCCGCGCCCCCCAGACAGCCCAGAGCCCTGCTGCTCTGAGCAGGACATCACTCTGTTCAGACAGATCGCCCTGGACCTGCGTGAGTTCAAACGGACCAAATGGACCGTTTTCTTTCAAGGAATTTGAGGTTTTTTTTAAATGTGAAAAGGTCTCTTTGATCCAGTTCCAACATAAAATTAAATGTGGTTACAATACCATGGATTTTCTGTTCTGTATCTTATTTAATCTAGTTGATTGTTTTTTTTAAATGACACATTGATGACGTTTTGTGATGATACTAAAGCTAGAATTGACTAAATAAAGTCCTTAACTGTGGGCACCTCCTCAGAACGCTCCTTTCCAACCCACCGCTCTCTTATGGGTGAGAGTCCAGAAGCCATCGAGGGTCAGGCCAAACTCTTCAGGGTCCTCATTGCCTATGCAAAGTACAACCCACAGGTTGGCTACAGCCAAGGTAAGAAAACAGCAACATTGTAAAGTTTTACTCTGCACAAGTGAGTTTGTAATTATGAAAAAAAAAGTTGATATTTTAACTGTGTGAAACAAGTTCCCTAAATGGGAAAGATTTCACTTTGATGTGATATGACATTGTTTCAGTTTCATTTATGGCCAGCTGGTGGCACTAGAAGACCATAAACATGAATAGATAGGAGCCAGATACTTAAAGGAAATTAAAGAGTAAAAGGTAAAAGCAAGGGGTGAACTGGAAAAACGCAGAAAATGATTATAGCTTTTTATTTTATTTTATTTATTTATTTATTTTTTAGAACTCTGCCTATTTTGTCATGATATATTTGGAACTTTGATTTACTTTCAGTGAAAGAAATTGCTATTAAAATCAGTTTTTGAATCAGAAAATTGGAAATTAACCATTAACCAGCCACAAAGTCATACCTAACTCATTTTCTTTAGTCTAATGTGTTTCTCAGTCACATGTTCACTGAATTCCACTAAATTGCTGTTGTACTTTGTGCATTATTCCAATAAAAATCTGTTTGTGTCACAGGGATGTCTTATATAGCTGCAGTGCTGCTGATGCAGTTGGGAGAGGAGGAGGAGGCCTTCTGGGCTCTGGCAGCCTTGCTGGATAAATCCAAATATTTAGCAGAACTGTTTGATCTCAGTCTCACAAAGTAAGTGATGTAGATTTAGAAGAGCACTAACAGATTTGGGCATATGACTGATAACATATGCGTTGTATACATGGGATGTTGTAAATAATTAAGACTAGCCAGCAATGGAAAAAACTTAAAATCTACGGTTGGCATGAAAAAAAATGGCCATTGGAGGTAGTTCAAAATCTATCAGCCTCAGTTAACAATAAGCAGCATGTAGCACCCATCAGGAGTGGGACACGAGGCGAGCATTCATCTGAACACGGCTGGGCTTTGTTGAAAAAGAGTTCTTAAACTTTGGGAAAACTATATGCTGTTCTCTAAGATCCTCTTCTCAGCAGATTAAAGAGGTAGTGTGACATGGTATCACACAGATGTTGCACCATTGCTGTTGGATTAACGAAAGGACAGACTCAGCCACAGCTTAGTTTGTTTATGGTCACACAAACCCTTTTAGAAGGCATTTATGTTGTCGTGGACCTTTCGTTTATCTTTTTTTATTATGTGATTTAGTTTTATTCCTTGTGTCACGACTTGACGATGTCTTGTCTGCTTCCGATAAGACTCCAACATCAGGTGAAGGTGTTTGACCAGTTCCTGAAACACCGAAAGCCTCAACTTTCCAAGCACATGGTGAGTCCCCCCTCATTAAACATGCTTATAATCTAATTCATTTCATATCATGTTCGTTTATAAGCTTTCCCATCAGTTTGGCTTTTTTTAATTACTTTTCGGCTTTATTTTTTTCTGCATGTTGTCTTGCTCGTATTATTTCTCAAGATCCGATCCTGATTACTAACAAGAATAAGATGTCATGCTTTCTAATCCAGCAAAGATCTCTGTCAGAGCCTGTGTGTGAGGGGCTGAGCCAGCTCTCTGCTCCACAACTCACACTGAGGCAAACGCTCTCACCATTGTTTACATGACGCAAGAACAAAATCCATACATTTTGTCAGTTAAAGGCCAGGCTGTCAGGTTGCAGCTGCACATAAATCCTACCAAACAAAGCGATTTTACCGGAACATTTAGTCAGATCCGAGCTTTAAAAAAACAAGCCCAAACACATTAACTTTTTTTTTTTCTTTATGGATTTTTCATAACTCAAATACAGCCACTAAACCTGTGAGCAGTATAGAATGGAATAAAAGTGTCTGCTAAGTACATAAATGCGAATGCAAGATGCCTCTGAATGTATTCTGTTTTGTATTGACAAACTGAGAGCAGTCTCCTAAACCCGGTGTGAGTCCACATGTTAATGTATTCACTGGTACTTTGAATTGTCTCATACACAAATCGTGCTACACAAATAAATTTGCCTTGTTACTTAGGGAGATATTCAAACAAACATAAATGCTCGTGTGCACAACCATACACAAAATGGCTTGTTATACACACAGTAGCATATTTTTTTCCCATAGATGCACAGAAGTTGATTGTTTCCAATTAGCTGAAAGCCTGAGACAACTTATGTCTTCAGCTTTACACAAATGATGTGCGGATGGATGGATTCATCAGTTAGGAATAAGGAAAGAATCTCATTTGGCTTGGGAAAAGGCTGTGAAATGATTTTGAAAGCATTTTTTTCGGTCATGCAAAATCAGCCCTTCCTGTCTGGTCATCCTCCCTGCAGGAGTCAGTGGGAGTCTCGTCGGTCCACTTTGCGATGCCATGGTTCCTCGTCCTCTTCACTTCCCTGCCCTGCTGGGACTCTGTTCTGGCTGTCTGGGATCTCATCATTCTGCACGGTTCGCACACATTCCCACACATGCCCACACACATTACAAACTCACACACAGGCATCTGTGGATGTTGTGTGGTTTTATGTTACTCCAAGGGCTGGCATTTTTAAGCTTTTCTCTTATTTTATAAGATGTTTTGATCCTAAACGGCTCTAAATGTTGATATGCTGGTTAATATGTGCCGAGTTATGTCTGAAAGTTGAACAATCCATCAGACTTTTTCATTCTGTTCATTTTTCTTATTTGATCAGATTGAGAAGAGGAGCCTTTAGGAAAGGCGCTGCCCCCTTCCTGCCCTCTTCCTTTTTATTAAGACAACTAAAAGCCATTTTAATGAAAGATCGGCAAACTTGTCAGGAACATGTTGTTACTTTCACCCTTTTGCAGACAGCCAATCATACAAACGGATCTCATTACGGCAGGAAAACTGAAGATGTTGTTCTTGCCTCTCTACTTAGAGCTACTTGACCTAATAAAAGAAAAAGGCCTTTTAGAAGCCAAAAAGCCAGGCAGTAAATTTAGCTGGTTGTAGTCATAATGCTTGACACTGAAGCTGAAACGGGCAGTTAAATTAAAATGACCATTCATCTCTCACATGAAGACGCCTGTGGGACCATCATCTCCATAAATGTCGAGCCTTTAAAATAAATCCTACCTGAAACATCCCCTGATTTGTCTCCGTCAGGCCCGGAAACGGGCTCCTTTTCAGCGGCACAACACTGCCGTCTACACCGAACAGCTGTCTCTGACAGATGTCACAAATGTCAACCGACGGGTTTCCGTGTCACACCAGAACCCGTCACAGCTCCACAGCTGTCAGCCGGAATGATGGAAAGCTCAGCCGAAGACAATTTTAGGACAAGAGTCCTCATGCTCGTGATGGATACGCCGTAAACAAATCATAGCCTGATGACATGTAGTGAAGAGGTTTTTCAGAGCTCAGATCTGCTGTCACAACAGAGAAAAAATGATAAAACCAACTGATTCTGCGAGTTGAAATGAGAACAAGAAGAGAAAAAAAGAATACAGGAGTCTGTGTGAACACGGACAGACTTTGTACAGGTCTGTTTATCTTTGTGTGTAACGTTTTACTGTTTCTCTCTCCTCCTCAGGCCTGCCAGCCGTGTTCCGCACAGCTCTGACCATCGTCCAGCTCCTGGAGCTCCGGCTGATGGACCTGAACGACGAAGGAGCCGTCCTACCGCTGCTGCTCCGAGTCCCTGTGGATGTGTAAGGGAGACTTTACGCTTGTCTCACGTTTTTCTGCGTTTGCAACCACCAAAGCGGCAGCAGCATACGGAACAGACAGTGAGGGAGGCATCAGATGGATCAGTCCAAATGTGACTGGTCCCACAATGCTCATACACACAGAAAAAGGCCCAGTTTGATCAAAGTTGGTGTGCTGAGATTTTTAGTAGGAATGCAGTGCACTATGTTCACAAAAATGAAAACATAGATACTTTGCCTGAGGGAAAAAATAGTTCTTTAAAAAATGTTTTTAGGTTTACGGGTCAGGCTGCTACTGGAAACATTTAGGTCCAAACAGGCTACCACAAGATTTATTTGTGTTTTTATGAAACTGCAGGGTTTTTTTTATTTTTCAAGGCAGAGGTATTTGTTGATTTTATACCTTAACCAATGGCTTTTTATTTTTTATTCAACTTTTTTTATTTTTGTCTCATAACCTAAATTAAGCTAAGTGTGTAGCTGTTTTCTGGTTTCCCTTTTTTTTTAAAAATCTGACTTTCAAGCTGTGTTTGTCTGTGTATCCAACACAGGCTTCGGTTGCTAAACACACAGATTCTTGTATTTTTACAGCACAGGTCCCTGCGGCCTGCCTTTCTCTGCTGAAAGTGATGCTGTGTATTACTGGTGCTGAATGAGTTCCTGTAATGACAGCCCGTGCTGCTTTCAGTTTCAGCCCTTTGTCGCTCTTCTTCCATGTTGAATATAAACGTGACGACATGCCAGCAGAAAAGTTTTGTTGATGTAGAGCAGTAGTTATAGCAACTTAGCAGGGTCACCGAGTCCGTACATGTAATTTAAGGGACAAATTAGTGTGCAGTGGCGATTAAGTGTGAGGAATTGTTTGAGTAGATGCATTCTCCTCATGGCATTTTCAGCCTTGGGACGGCTTATTGTAGTAAAGTTTGGTCCTGAGTTTGTTTGCCTTGGAGGAAGAGAGTAGACGTTGGACAAATGATGGCGTTGACTGACAGGGATATTTCTCTGGACACCAGTGACCTGTAAGACCACAATAAAGAACACATTAAGTTGAATTATTGTGGGGAACAACCTAAACGCTCATATGGTGTCAACCTTTAAATCACACCATTTTTTAGCTTTGATTATCAATACTTTAGAGGATGGATGGCTTTGCTCTCTGCGTCAAAAGAGGCGATTTGTTTCCCATCAAACCTCCTCTGCTTCTTCAAACAAGAGCAGCACTGGCAAACATTTTTGTTCCCGTTGGAGCTGAGCAGGCAGCGTGCCATCTCACATTGAGAAGTCCTTGTTGCCCGCTTGGCAAAGCTCCGAAAGCCTGGTCAGAAGTCAACACTAAGTAGGGCGGCTGTCTCTCCTTACACTGGGAAGATCCTGCTGAAGAAAGAGGCAAAGTGAGTGATAGGGGGAAGAGGGGGAAAAATGGGGGGGGGGGGGGG